TGTGTGTGATATTAATGATATTGTTCGATAATTTCTGCATTCTGTTGGATCACCTTTCTTTGGAATGGGCACAAATATGGATGTCTTCCAGTTGGTTGGCCAGGTAGCTGTCTTCCAAATTTCTGGGCATAGACAAGTGAGCGCTTCCAAAGCTGCATCTATTTGTTGAAACATCTCAATTGGTATTACATCAATTCTGGAGCCTTGTTTTTCATCAGTGCCTTCAGTGCAGCTTGGACTTCTTCCTTCAGTACCATCGGTTCTTGATCATATGCTACCTCCTGAAATGGTTGAAAGTCAACCAATTCTTTTGGTACTGTGACTCTGTATATTCCTTTTCATAGGTGGCATTTATCTGTTTGAAGCAGCTCCCTTCTTTTTGGTTTGCTGACAGTTTTTATCCGGAATAAAAATGCTTTTTCTGCATCTATTGAGATTAACTAAGAATTTTTCTCCTTTTTTCTGAAATATGGTGAAATATATTGCGTTTTGAATGCTGAACCGACCTTGCGTTCCTGAGTTCCACGTAGCTATTATGTATTATCGTTTATATTGTTAGATTTAATTTGCTAGTGTTTTCTTGAGGGTTTTACATCACTGTTCATGTGGGGTATTGACCTGTAATCTTTGTTTCTCATTCTCGTCAGCTTTGGTATCAAGGTTATTCTGGCTTAAACTAAATCGAGTAATGTTTCCTCTTTCTCTGTTTCCTGAAAGCATTTTGTAAGATTGGTATTCTTTTTCCCTTAAATGTTTGATAGAATTCACCAGTGAAACCATTTGGGACTGAAGTTTTCTTTTGGAAGTTTTTAATGTGAGTTAACTTTCTATTATAAATATAGCACATTTCAGATTTTCTGTTTCTTCTTGAGTCATTTTTGGTAAGATGGCTAAGTAGTGATGTCCCCTCTTTCATTCCTAATACTGATAATTTGTGTCTTCTCTCTTTTTCTTGGTCACTCTGGCTAGAGGTTTATCAATTTTATTGATCTTTTCAAAGAACCTCTTTGCTTTCGTTGATTTTCTCTCTTTTTTGCTTTCTCTGTTACTCATTTCTGCTTTTTCTTTATTTGTCCTTAATTTGCTCTTCTTCTTCTAGATTCTTAAGGCAGAAGCTTATACCATGACTTTAGACCGTTTTTTTCCTAAGGTTACATCCAAACCAAACCTGTTGCTGTTGAGTCGATTTGGACTCATACCTATTACGTACATAGTGACCCGAGATTACATAATGCTATAATTTAACTCTAAGCCTTGCTTTAGCAGCATTCCACAAATTTTTATATGTTGTGTTTCTATTTTCATTCAGTTCAAAGTGTTTTCATAAAGTCCCTGTCCTCTAGCTCCAGTATCTGGGTTATCTCTTGAGTGTGGCTTGTTGATTGCTTTTTGTTTTGACACTTTTTTTGTTTGTTGTTTTGTTTTATTTGCTTTTTATGTGTCTCATCATTTTTGGTTGTATGTTTAATAGAGACTGAAGGCCTGAAATCTGGAAATGGGTACACATTTTCTTCTATCTATAGAAGTCGCTAAGAGTCGGAATCGACTTGACGGCAGTGGGTGTGTGGGTGTGTGGGTGTGTGTGTGTGTGTCAGGAGTTAAACTGGAATTTTTTAGTTTGCCTTGGTTACCTTTGAAGTCTCTGGGTGGTACAAACAGTTAATACACTGGGCTGCTAATCTAAAGGTTGGTGATTTGAGTGTACCCTTGGGCACTTCAGAAGAAAGGCCTGGCAGCTTACTTCTGAAAAATCTGCCATTGAAAACCACTTTGAGTACGGTTCAGCTCTGACACACATGGGGTCTCCATGAGTTAGAATCAGCTTAACCACAGTTGGCTACTGGTTACCAGTGACTTTAAATAGTTGTTTTTTAATATAGGTATTGTTCAGAGTTTATAACTGTTATTGGCAGGAGAGTTAGTATGATACAAGCTACTCTGCCATATCCAGCACCAGAAATCAGCTAGTCTCTTTTGATTGAAGACAACCTCCACCTTTTTATCCTCATTACCTTGACTTTTTGGAGAGCCCTGGCTGGTTTTCCTGTAACAGTTTCACAACCCAGATTTGTTTGATTATTTCCCTGTGGTGATGTTTAACTTGTGTTTCTATCCCTTGTTTTTCCTTTAAGCAGAAATTTACATCGAGAGACTTGATTAGATTAGGTCAAACTTTTTTGTTTTATAGATGATGTGTGTATTTCCTATTGCATTGTATCAGCAGGAAAAAAATGTTTGATTACACCAGTATTGGTGATGATTAGTTGATCAGTTGTTAAGATTGTGGTCTCCACTGTAAAGATTTGTTTTTCCCTTTGTAATTAGTAACTAACCTCTGGAGTGGTACTTTGCACCCTCCATTGTTTCCACCCTACCCAAATGTCACCTCTTAAAGTTTATTCTACCTCCTATTATATGCTAGCATAGAGTAACAGTTACCAAGCATTAGCTGTTACTGTTATTTAGGTCCCATTCCCCAACCAGAAGTCCCTCTTTTGCATTCCTTATAGTTTCTAGTTTGTATATATTATATATATTTCTCTCATACTGTGTTGTGGTTACTAAATGTCTTTATTTTCTACGGGAGTATGAGGTCCTGAATGCAGATATCACATCTTATAAATCTTTAGGTCTCCCATAGCACTTAATTTACATATAGCAGGCACTCAGTAAGTATTTTTTATATGAAGAGAAAATTAGCTAAAACATCTCCGAAGCCTTTTTCTGTTTAAACATTTTTTTTAATCTCTGTCTTAGGTACTGGTTGAATTTAATATTAATTACACTTTTACTTTCTTGTAGGTAAATGAGAAAACAGGACAGATTATACAGTATGATAAATTTTATATACATGAAGTACAAGAATTGATAGACATAAGGAATGATTATATGAACTGGATCCAACAGCAGGCCTATGGAATGGTATGTTTCCTTTTGCGTTTTATGAGTTCGTTTTTCTTTTTTTTGCCAGCACAACTTCCACATTTACAATTCAGTGACATTGATTGCATTTTTCATGTTATCCTTTTCCAAAATATTCCACCACCATTAACGTAAACTCAGTGCCCCTCAGATAAAAACTATCTCCCTCCCCCCATCAGCCATTAATAATGTTTGATTTCCATATGTTTGCTCATTTCATATAAGTGAGATCGTATAGTATTTGTCCTTTTATGACTGACTGATTTCACTCAGCATCTTGTTTTCCAGGTTCATCCATGTTGTGGTATGCCTCAGAACTTCATTTTTCTTTACGGTTACATAATAGTCCATTGTGTGTACATCCCACATTTTGTATATTCATTCATCTGTTGATGGACATTTCAGTTGTTTCCAATGAATTCATTTTTCATGCATCATTTTTTCTAATATAAAGAAACAATTGCTTCTTTGTGAAATACTGTGATATTTTATTCAGAGCTTCAGTGTTTTAGATAAAAACACACTACAAAAGAATAGCTAAATATTATGCAGTATGTATAAGCAAATATTCCGTTGTTATACCAAAGCCTGTAGTGTAAATGGCTTACATTTTTCTAGAGAAAAATGTAAATGTGATGTGGATTTTTAACTCATTTATTTTCCATAAAGTTGTCCCTTAATTCTATAATATTGAGAATACTGGAGTCCCTTATACTGGAACTCTAAGAATGCATTACTTAGATTTGTGGTATCAGTGCCTCAGAACTACCAGAAGAGAACTGTAATACCATAGGTTCTATTCTTGACTTTTGTACATTTATTTATATGTTAAATTTTATTTCAGATTTTTGGCATAAATCCACATGTGTGCATACGTCTCCTTTCCATCTATCTAGATCTCTAATAACTAGACAGTGTTCCATCACAATAGTAGCATAGTCTTATAAAACTATAGGGCACATAAAATTTTAATATAGGAATTAAGTAAGTAGCTAGATACACAATCATCATCCCATTGCCATCAAGTTGATTCCGACTCATAGTGACCCTCTGTGACAGAATAGAACTGCTCGTAGGGTTTCCAAGGCTATAAATCTTTATAGAAGCATACTGCCACATCTGCAGCTGGCGGGTTCGAACTCCAGATCTTTCAGTTAGCAGCCAGACACTTAACTACTGCACCAGCAGGGCATATAATACTCAGATTTTAAAACTCTTATTTGCTAGCCGTGTTTGAAGGATAGAAAGACACCAGTATGGCTAAAACATGAGAGTGGGGAGAATTCTGTGGAGGGATCAGAGAAATGGGCAGGGGCCAGATTATAGAGGGTTTAGTAAATCAGGGTTAGGAATTTGGATTGTGTCTGAAGTGTTACGGAAGTCATTGGAAGGTGGTAAGCAGGGGTTGCATAATCTGATTTATATTTTTAAATTGCTCTGTCAGCCGTGTGGAGAATAGAGTGTGAGGAATGGGGCAAAAATTAAACAGGAAGACCAGTTAGAAGACTATTTTAGTTATTATGGGAGAGAAAATGATGGGTTTGGCTAGGATGGTCATCGTGCAGATGGAAGAAGGGAATGGACTTGGACTATCGCTTGGAGATAAAATGGACAAGAATTACTGATGGATTGGATGGATGTGGGAGGTGCGGAAAGGAGAGAGATCCACAAAGGAGATTAAGGAGTGGCTAGTGAGGTAGAAGGAAAGCTAGGGGAATGTTGTTACGGAAAAATACATAAAGTGAAAGAGAGAGTGTATTATCCTGCTGAGAGGTAGGATAAAACCATAGAATTGAACAATGAATTTGGTTACTTGAAGGTCATTGATGAACTTGATATTGCTGGTCTAGATGGGGTGAGCAAGAGGGAACAAACACCGTAGACAACACTTTCAAGAAGCCCTGGTGGCACAGTAGTAAAGTGCTCCACTGCTAACCGAAAGGTCGCCAGTTCAAACCCACTAGCTGCTCTGGAGTAGAAGGATGTGGCAGTCTGCTTCCATGAAGATTTACAGGCTTGGAAACCCTATGGGGCAGTGCTACATCCTGTAGGGTCGCTGTGAGTTGGAATCAACTTGATGGCAGTGTGGGTTTGGTTTTTTTTTTTTTGGTTTTAGTTTATGTAGGTGATAAACTACTTATATTCTGACCAAGCTAAGATAAATACCTGTCTAAGAGGATTTCTTTTTAGTTAGTAGTAATCTTGTACTACGTGGAGAAGCTGTGATTTGAATGTTGGCTTATAAATTTGGTAGGCGCAGAACTTATCATCTCAACTCCTCTTACTGTAAAGCGGTGGTGTTAGCAAACTGAATTTCCATAGGGAACTCTTCCATTGCTACTGTTTTCTGGTAAGAGAGAGGCAGTAGAAGACTACCTTCATATTTCTAGGCTTTTCTTCTTTGTTAGTCATTATCTCCAGATCTAATATATGGCTCCTGTGCTTAAGAATTTCTTACCAGAAAACAGTAGAAGGGGACAGGAACTGATCAAAAGGACAAAGGGAACCTGGAGTGGAAAGGGGGAGTGTGCTGTCACGTTGTAGGTATTGCAACCAATGTCACAAAACAATATGTGTATAAATTTTTGAATGAGAAGAAAAGATTAAAAAATATACGTACACACATTTAAAAAAAAATGTCTTGCTTTTACTCTCCCCTTTGAACCATTTCCTTTCTCTCCATATGTAGAGAGAAGTGATATTGAATAGGTGGTTGTGAAAGTGAAAGCTTGTTCTTTATTTAATCTGCAAAGTGAGTTTATTATGACATCTTTGAAATGAGGATCTAGAACCCATTATTTGGGTTGTTCTGACCTACCTCTGGGAATTAGAAGGCTTGCAACCTACTCTGAAGGTCTTGACTGTGAAACTTTTATATAGTTCATTAATTTATATTATGACATTTGCCCTTACAAAGTGTCTTTCTTGGAGAGAGTGCAAAGCTCTTTCATATTTCATATTTACAGATAATGCTTAAAGACTTTTCCCGGAGGCTTTTTTTAAATAAGATTCATGCTTGCATTACTAGTCTTAATACAAAGTTAAACATCAAGGTGGGCCTGTAAGTAAGGTTTTAAAGAATCTGTCTTAAATATACTCACGTGCTGTTTGTGATGATTTAGATGTGTATGTGTATATGTGTATATACACACATACATACATTTGTGTACCGGTGTAAAATTGTGAAAGTTTAAAATATTCTGTGATAGAACATAATTACTATGAATTATAAAAATATGTATGTGTGTGTATTTTAACTTTGTTCTAAGCACTGCAAGAAAATTATTTTATCTTTATTATATTTGCTTTATGCCATAATCTGTTGAAGTTTTTTCCTCTAGTTCCTTTCTTTCACGGTCAAGGATTTTAAGAAATCATAAAGTATACACTTCTCTGGTCCATAAACATTAATCACTAATTCTATGAAATTCTGGCTTTCTTTGTAATATCCTTTTGTATTACTGAGACTAACTGTTCACCTCATCCCCTTCCATTTTTCCATCCTTTTTCACCTCTTTCCATTAACTGTTTTCATGGAGTTTTTGCTTGATCCTTCTAGTTTTACTAGTTACTGTATAATCTTCTCTTTTCGTTTTCAAGCCTCTCACCTGGGTGTATGAAACTACTGTATGAACTGCTTTTTCAGTTGAACTCCTTTGCTTTTTAACTCATTTTCTCCTTCTACATTGATCTGTTGGTAAAATAAAAGAGTTTATGCTCATTTTCTCTTTCTTTTTATTTATCTTCTCCTATTTGATGATTTCTCTCCACTTTCTAGGTTACTGTTCTCAGTTGTATGTTTCCTTACTCTACTTCAACTTTGCTCTAAAATTGTGTATAAAAATACCCAGCAGCTACTACTAAACTCTTTGGTCTTTTTCTTCTCTTCCTTATACTTTTAGTTACTATACATGATTATCATCAGGTTATATGTCTTAATAAAAATTGTCTAATTTAGAATAAAATATAGAAAAGTCTGTGTTGGGTGGGTCTGTGCCTGTTTGAATTACTCTGAGATTCAAGTTAGGCATTTTTTAAAAATGTATATCCATTTATTTCAAGAACAGTGTATACCTGTGTGAGACATAGCAGATGCAAGTAGGTATGGTAAATTAGTAAAAAACTTACAGTCTTCGGTATTACGCTGTATAAATGTTATGTCATAAGTCTTATTTATTACTGAGTCAATATTAATTGGACTGTGTGTATAAATCATCACTATTTGTTCTTTGGAGTTAAAAAAAAATTTGTTTTACTTAAACCTTAAACCAAAAATATCCCATGAAGTCTTCTTAAAACCAAGCAGTAGTTTAGTTTGACTAGTAAAGAATGTCTGCCTGGAGCATTTTGCTCTTTTAACATCTATCTATGTGGGATCCCTGGTGGTGCAGTGGTTAAGAGTTATGGTTAAGAGTTAAGAGTTATTAAGAGTTATCCACCAGCCGCTCCTTGGAAACCCTATGGGGCAGGTCTACTCTGTCCTGTAGGGTCACTATGAGTTGGAATCGACTTGACGGGAATGGCTTTAGTTTTTTTATGTGGGATCGGATTGACAACAGCAACTCAAAAGATTAGATAGGAACCTTGGGGCCAGTGAGTTTATGTCAGTGGGAGAGGAACAACTCAAAGAATGTAATCAGTGTTACTGAATGGTACATGTAGAAACTGTTGGATTGGTACATGTTTTGCTGTATATATTTTCAACAACAGCAAAAAATAAAATATTTTTAAAAGTTTTATTTTACATGTTGATAGTGCTGAGCTAGCAACATGACATATTCACCAGGAAAATAGGAAGATAGGCTAGCATAACAGCTGTAGACCAGCTTTGGCATGATACACCAATATTTAACATACCTGGCTTTGAGTTTCTTTCTTATTTAATAAAATGAAGAAATTGAAGTGCATTTGTGTTCCTTTGCAGCTCTCTTCTTTCCCAGAAAAGTTCATTCTTGCTTTTTAAAGTTCCTTGGACCCAGGCTCAGATTTTGGACTGACTATAATGTCATTGTTTTTCTCTGTGCATTGGATTGCCAAATTGAATTTTGTGTGTTTTCCATTTCCTTCATGTTTTAAAAATATCTTTTTATTTCCATCTAAGCTACCAAGAAACACTTCTTCGTATCTTATTTGAATTACTTTAGGAACTTCGGTATCCTGTCAGTATACCTTCTTAACAGTAATCCTGTGTTATGCCATCAGGCCCAGAAATCAAGGTGACACCAGCAGTGGTTTAGTGTTTTATCATTAGTAATCATTTGGAACTAAAACACAGCCAGGAGCTGCATCTTTACAGCCTGTAACTAACTGAAACCATCATTAACCACTGGTGTTAAAAGCAGTCTTAGTGAAGTCTTATTTAGACCATGAAACCCTGTCTTTTGAACATTCCTTCAGGCCATTTTTATTCCAGCTTCCAGAATATCGAATAACTAAAATTAGACATGCCATGATCCAATTTCAGGGTCCCTAATCTAGTAACAGCCAGTAGTTGGTGTTTGAATATGTGTATTTGGAGCCAACGGTAGGTTGCAAATTGAGCGATGTGTTGCAGTTTTAGCAATAGATCTTCAGTTGACTTCACATGTTTTCCTGAAATCCTGCCTCCACCCCCTACACCACTTTGTTTTCATTTTAAGTTTACTTTGCAGAGACTGTTTTAACTGAAATCTGTTTGAGCTCTCTTGCAGCTCTATTATTTCCCAGAAAAATTCATCCTTGCTCTTTTAAGAATTTACTTTTTTTTTTAAAAAAAAACTTTCAAGTTTTTGTCTGAGATCCTTATCCCTAAAATTGAAATTTCTGATACTCTATTTCCCTTGGTGCCTTTCTCTTAAATAAATCCATTTGCTTGGGATCTAATGTTTATCATTGTTTACTTCAGGATAAAATCCATCTGCCATGATATAAACTCTCTTGGTATTTAGTATAGTTGTCAAGTCAGTAAATATTGGTGGGTTTTTTGTTTTGGTTTTTCCTTTTTCAAATATTCTTGGTAGTAGTGGCACTTTTAAAATGTCTGGTAAAATATTCTATAAAGGGATTGCAAATGTTTCTCTTCAATTGCCTTAAAATTAAACTGAGTGTAATCGAAAACTCATTTTTTCAGAACAGTTTCTAAACATGTTCTTGTTAACACTGCCTGCAGGGGTAATTATGTAGTGATAACTTGCTACTTTGGAAATTTTTTAAAAAAACTATTACCAGTAATTTCCTTTCTTAGGAATTGTGTAGAGTCCTGTTTTGCTGATGCTTACACTGCTTTGGCTTTATTTAGCACAACATAATAAGAGAACCCTAATTCCTTGCTAATATGTTAAGGCCCCTAATGATACCATCAAGACATAGTAGAGTTCAGCAAACTACCAGGTTAGAGGGAACAGTTCACACAAGGTTACCCTTACTTCTGACACCAATTGTTAAGTTCAGAGGATTCCCCAAACCAACCTGAAGTTTGATAATTCTCTAGAAGGACTCACAGAGCTCACTGAAAGCTGTTATAGTCAGGGTAACAGTTTGTTACAGGGAAAGGATACAGACTAAAATTAACCAAGAGAAGACACGAATTAGGGTGTAGTTCAGGAATGGTATCAAACACAGAGCTTCTGTTATCCTCTCCCGATGGAGTCATGGACACATTACTTCCTGGAATCAATGTGTAAAAATATGCACAGAGTATTGACAACCAGGGAAGCTCACCTGAGCCTTGGTGCCCAGAGTTTTTATTGGTGCCTGATAACGTACTGCCTGTGTGGCAGACTCTTAGTCTCTATCTAGCCTTTGAAGAGACAAAACTAAAACCATATAGCCCAAAGCCATCATTGTGAATCACATTTTTTAACTGACCAGTGAACAAAGCCCCCAGACAAAGACACACCTATCAAGTATGACATTCCAAGGGCCTAGAGGTCACCTCCCAATAGCTGAGGGCAAAAGCCAGATCTCTTGTTGGTTAAAGGTTAATTCTTCACTAGGTAAGGCACTGTCCACAAATTTAGTTCCACAGGCAGAAGTTTTCTGCAAGAAAATGTGGATTTCTGTTTAATGAAGTATAGTAAACTTTCATTATGATTTTCACTATTACTTCCTTCATAAATATATCTTTCCCTCTTTATTTCTTCTTTCTACTTACTATCCTCTGTGCGCTGTCCTATACTTTTCCATTTTAAGTTCATTCAGCATTTGAGAATCCGTAATATAACTTACATTTCATTGGCTATTTCTGACAAAAAACAACTTACGATTTGTTTCCCTCACTTCATTTCCATAAAGCTTTTTTTTTTGCTTATGCCTTTTTAATTTATTTTTTTTGTTGTTAAGAATATACACAGCAGAATATGCACCAACAATTTCTACATGTACAATTTGGTGACATTGATTTGAGTTGTGCAGCCATTCTCACCCTCCTTTTCTGTGTTTTTCCTCCCCAGTTAACATAAACTCACTGCCCCTTAAGTTTTCTGTCTATAATCTTTTGAGTTGCTGTTGTCAGTTTGATCCCATACAGATCTTAAAAGAGCATAATGCTCAAGGCAGACATTCTTTACTAGTTAAGCTAAACTGATGTTCAGTTTTAAGAAGACTTCAGGGTATATATTTTGGTTTAAGGTTTAAAGATTATTTTAGGGCAGTAGTTCCAAGGGTTTATCCAGCCTCCATGACTCCAGAAATTCTAGATTCCATGAGAATTTGAAATTCTCTTTTACATTTCCCCTCTTTTCATCTGGATTCTTCTATAGAATCTTTGATCAAAATGTTCAGTTAATGGTAGCCAAGCACCATCTAGTTCTTCTGGTCTTATGGCAGAGGAGGCAGTTATTCATGGAGGCAGTTAGCCACACATTCCATTTCCTCCCCCTATTCCTGACTCTCCTCCTTCCTCTGTTGCTCCAGGCAAATAGGAACCAATTGTGCCTTGAGTGGCCACTTGCAAGCTTTTAAGACCCCAGGCACTAGGCAATGAACTAGGAGGTGTTTGGTTGTACATAAGCAGCCTCAGCAGCTGCTCTTTTTTGTTGTTGTTGTTGTAAATATATCTATCACATAACTTTTGCCAATTCAACTCTTTACAGGTGTACAACTCACTGGCAGCACTTAATCGGTTGTGCCACCCTAGCCTTAATCAGTGCAAATTTTCTGTCACCATAAATGGAAACTCAGTAGTCCATAAGTAGTAACCCCCTCTTCCCCGCTCTCTCCTACCCCTGGTAACCACTAACAGACTTTGGTCTCTATACGTTTGCCTGTTCTTGTCTTTAAGTGAGGTCATACAATATTTGTCCTTTTGTGATTGACTTATTTCACTTAACAAAATGTTTTCAAGCACCATTCATATTGTAGCATGTATCAAGACTTCATTTTTCTTAACTGACTGAGTAGTATTCCATTGTATGTATGTATGTATACCACATTTTGTTTTTCCATTCATCCATTGATGGACATTTAGGTTGTTTCCACCTTTTCGCTATTGTGATTGGTGCTTCAGTGAACATTGATGTACAAGTATCAGTTTGACTCTCTGCTTCCAAGTCTTTTGGGTATATACCTAGGTGTGGAATTGCTGGGTCATATGGTAATTCTATTTTTAGTTTTTTAGGAACTGCCACACTGTTTTCCACAACGGCTTTACCATTTTGCATTCCCAACAGCAGTTGGATCAGGATTCTGATTTCTCCACGTTGTTTTCTGTTTGTTTGTTTTCCTTGGCCATCCTGGTGGGAGTGAAATGGTATCTTAACTGTGGTTTTGATTTGCATCTCTCTGATGACTAATGAGAAGGATATTCTCCCAGTCTGTAGCTTTTCTTTTCACTTTTTTTGGTAAAGTCTTTTGATGAGCAAATGTTTTTAGTTTTTATGAGGACCCATTTGTTTATTTTGTCTTTCGCTCTTGGTACTTTTGTTAGATAATCCATTGTTAAAAGCTTGGTCTAGCAGAGTTGCCTCTGTATTTTCTAAGAATTTTATGGTTTTGGTTTTCACATTTAGGTATTTAATCCATTTTGAATTTTTTTTTGTGTATGGTATATGACACGTTTATGTAGTATTTTAATCATCTAAATACTTTCAAACATTTTCCAAGATTATTACCAAGTCTTAAAGTCTGAGGAATATTTTCTCGGTTTTCCAGGTAGAGAAACTGAGCCATAAAGTTACATCTTCAAGACCAAGTCAGACTTAGGACTAATTTGCCTGTTCTACTTAAATTCTGCAGGGGGGCGGCGGGGGGATGGGAGTGGGGAGGGGGCGGGGCTTAGTTGTTGAAACTAATTTTTATTAGGTTCAAGCCTCTGATAATTTTATGATCATAAGGTACCTGAAACAGAGGTCTTATATTTATAGACATAGATGTATAAGGTGTATGTGGAAATGGTAAGTTTTATTGTAGATATTTTTTGGTCTACCTCATTAATACAGTTTTCTGCTGTAGCAAAATATATGCAATGCTACTTTGAATAGAAATAGTTAAATTTGGACACTAACATTGCTCTTTCCTCATTGTTACATTCTGCACTGCTGTCTTAGGATGTCAACCAAGGATTAACTGAGGTAAGTTTGGTGTAATAAAGTCTTATTTTCGGAGTAAGATAAACTCTGTTTTGTCTTAAGTGATAAGAGAGTTAAAGTTTCCTCTTTTATGTGATTGTTTTAAAACATAAGTGTTACCATTGTTATTTTAAAAAATGAGTCTATAGAAATTATCCTATATAACATTTCAGAACATTTTTTGAAGAAAATAAAAACCTCTCTTTTAGTTAACATTACACTTAAATGATGTCGTGCAGTAATTTTTGCATTAAAAATTAGTTTCTATCCTCCTTAAATATTCCAGTATAGTACTTAATGTGTGAGAATATAAAAAGTAAACTCTTGTTTTGAAATTTAGCTAATACTTACCTAGAAATCATTTTATGTTAGAGAAGTAAAACGATGTCCAAGTTTTAAACTAATAATATTTAAAATGGCCTAAAAATTAAATAAACTCTGTAAGACCGTCTTCCTCACTTTGTCTTACATACTGCCTTATACAAAGTTCTAGCACTTTGATTTAAGTTATTAGCAACTCTGAACCACCTTTTAACATTTGGGAGAGTTATTCTAAGTCTTTTATTTCATATAGATTTTAGGGTTTTGTTTCTCTTTGCTTTTTTTTTTTCCTTCCCTTGTTGGTGTTCTTTTCCCAGTACTTGAATCAGTGCAGCATTTTGAGTTAGCTTTAAATTACAGGTTTAATATTGTTTGCTTCTTCATCCTCAGAGGTAGCACATCAAATTGTGGAATCATAGAATTTTGAAGCCAAAGGGGCTTTAGAAGTCATCTAGATCTTTTTGAGATTCAGAGAAGTAAAAGGACTTTCTTCAATCAATAGCTAGTTAGTGACACAAATACAAGATGGAGTTAAACTTTATATGGAAATGCTGAAGAGTAGCAATTTACTGTAAGGTTAATAAAAGTCATCATATTATCTTGTATGTTGATTTATAGGATTCAGAACAAGGAGTTACAGTCTCACTTTATTTTGTACTGATTGGGCAACATTAGGTTATTTTTATTTTGGTGGCCATAGTTACGAGAGACTTAGGTAAATTAAAGTACATTTAGAAGTAGGCAGGTAGGTTAGAGCAGAGTTGGAAACCATATTACTTTCAGAATGGCTGAAAAAACTGGGAATTTTTGTCCTGGAAAAAAGACAACTTATGGAAAGAAAGCATGAGGACTTGAAATATTTAAACATACACACTTCACCTGCAGGGACAAAATGTAGACTAGGTGATGCAGAGTGATGTATAGGAATGCAGATTTGTGCTTAATAATATAAAGACTTAATGGTCACTAAAAAAGAAGTGGATTGTTTCAGAGTATACTAATTCCTTACTGGAAGCCTTAAAGCAGGGGCTCTGTGTCAGGGCTGTCACAAAAATACTGCCTTGTTGAGTAGAAGGTAGGAAAATATCTCTTCCAATTGCAAGAATCTGTAACTGACAGTTCATAGCTCTTTATATTTTACCACAGTCTTAAAATGCTAAGGATGAATAATTGTCTGTAAGATGACTAATATTTGATAAGGGTAATAATAGATAAGTTCTCCCAACTTTAAGGCAAGTGGAGGATAATAATACTATAAATGGTGCTTATTTTGTATCATAAATGAATGAACAGATTGTTGGAGTCATAATAGTGTTGGTACCCTAATTACACTCAGTAAATACCTATCAATGAATAGTTAGATTACTATCATTGGCCTCAGATTGTCACCAGTTGCTAGAGTTCAGTCCTAATATATATGAACTGGGTACTGTATTTAACATAAACCAAAACCAAACCCATTGCTGTCAAGTTCATAACATAGGAGTTCCCGATTTTGGAAAAAAATTGCAATCTAATCCACTGAAACTTGGAGTTAATATATGTTAAGCAGAACATGACTTGTAATTTACAGTTTATGAATTTAATGGTTCATACCAGTGCCTCATCTAATTATCAGTAAAAATTCTATAATCAGTTATAGACAATGTGTCTTATTTATAATTCCTGAATACACAGGAGTGAATAAACCAAGAATGCAATCAGCTTTACAAGAAATGAGAATATCCACAAGAAGTATATCACAAATCAGCTTGTACTGATAAGTTAATTTTTTACTTACAGTTGGCAGATATTCCTGTTACAATCTGCACATATCCATTTGTATTTGATGCCCAAGCAAAAACTACTTTGTTACAAACAGATGCAGTCTTACAGATGCAGGTAAGATATTGTATAATACTAATCTCATTTGAGAGGGTTTTTTTAAATTGTTTCCATGGTGTTTTTAAAAAGTAAATATTTGAAATTTGCTGTTACAGGTGATCTTTGGGGAAAGTTTATACCTTTGTGGTCTTTTGCCAGGTACCTTGGGTACCTATAAAGAGGACTGTTGCATGTCACATGTATAGTCTTATTAAAGCTGCTTATGTGTATTTCAGTGAAAATAGAATAATTTAGCCTTTAATCATTTTATATCTAAAAAATTATATGTGTCTTTCATTACAAAAATAAGTAATATTTTTAAACTAAAGGCTTTCATTACTAGTTTACTTGATAAAAAATATTGGTTTCAAATCTTGCTTCATTATATGTCTTTTGTTCATGTAATTAGTGAAAAGTAGAAGGTGACTGAAGGTGGTGAGAGGATGTTAAAGTAGGAGGTATTTGATTACTTGTTAGGAGGATATGAAATTCCCTTGAAGAAAGTTATAGTAATAAATAAAGTTGGTTGTCATCTCATCCCCCCTCCCTTCCTTCTCCACTTTTCTCCCCCCTCCCATTTAATGTTACACATTCTTTCATTTATAAGGAGGCTTTTAAAGACTAGTTCACATTATGACTTTGAAGGGTTGTAGTAGGTTTTATCAGTTGAACCTGTAAATAAAATAGCTTTCAAGTTTCTTCATCTGGTATAGAATATCTGGCTATACAGACAGAGGCTAAGGAAAGGATGAGAAGAGACCTTACTATAATATTCTGAAAATGTTTTAAATAGTTAAAAACCCTAAAACTGTGGTAACTATTTTCATTCCTTTCAAATACATAAATGCATTTGTATTCAAATCCCTTCAGACATTTAAATAATAAACACTAGGGGGAATCTTAGAGATGTGCTTATTCCCATTTACATCAAGAAAAGAAATAAATTTTTTCTAGGTTTCTATACCGAGGAGCCCAGGTGGCGCAGTGGTTAAAGCACTTGGCCACTGATCAAAAGGTCGATGGTTTGAACCCACCAGCCACTCTGCAGGAGAAAGATATGGCAGTCTGCTTGCATAAAGATTTACCGCCTTGGAAACCCTATGGGGCAGTTCTATTCTCTGTCCTATAGGTTTGCCATGAGTCGGAATTGGCGCAACAGCTGTGGGTTTGGTGTTTTTTTGTTTGTTTATACTAACTAGTTAAAACAATAAGTTAATCATTGGTGCTTTCAATATAGAATATCCATTTTAGAGCAAGAACGCATGGGAAACCACAGGAAAACAAACAGGTTTTAAATGGTAAAAGCCGGACGCTTGGTTTATTAGCACATATGATGATCACCCTGCTGGTAGATGAATTTCTGTAATACCTCCTTAGCCAGGCTGTTCCTTATTCTTCTTTAGAAGTTTATTTTATGCTGTTTTCTTTGTCTCCCCACTCTCTGCCCTTACCCTGTTAATTTTTGGAGAAACAGTGATGCTCGTATTTGTCAGTATTATCAAAGTTCCATATTTAACTTAATGGTGTTATTAGTTATAAATTATGTGGATCAATCAAATTCAATCTGTCTACTTTTTCTAACATCAACTGCTATGGTAATAATGTAATTAAATAAAAACCCCTTCTTTTCACTTCTCTGTTCAATTCTGACAGTAGCTGCAACATGCAGCACTTCTTTCTCTGACGCTAATCTCTTGAAGCTAGGTCAGACTTCACAAGTTGAAGGACACAATTCTTTAGACAGCCAAATAGGCCCAAGACTTCAAATGCCAGCTGCAGGCTTGGGAGTCCCCAGGGCTCCCCTCACTTCTGCCCTGCTGGTTACAAATTTACGGTTTTTCCACTACCCCTTTAGGATGTCAGCCACTAGCTCTGAGGTTCTTAGCCCCCCTCACTTCTGATCTGCTGGCTCCCAGTATTCCCTCGGGTTTGATAATTTGCTGGAACGACTCACAAAACTCACAGAAAGTGGTGGTATACTTAATTATTACAGTTTTATTGTAGGAAAAAAGGTTATAAATGAAAAGACGCATAGGTTGAGGTCTTCGAAGGGTTCCCAACACGGAGCTTCCATGTCCCAAAAAGGGACACCTATCCTCCTAGGTTCATCAATGCCTTTCACCAACCAGGAAGCCCAGGGAGCTTCCATGTCCAGTGCTTTTATTGGGGCCTCATTACATAGGCATAATGGAATCATGCCTTTCCCCACCCAGGTTGGCTGACATCACAAGGTGATCTTTCTGGCCTGGCCAGCCCCCACCTAAGTCACCTCACTAGCATAGTCTGTCAGGTTGGGTCTGGAGGCCTATAGATAACAAAGGCACCTTACTTAAGAAGTTCCAAGGGTTTAGCATTATCTCCAGGAACCAAGGACAAAGATCAAATTACTATGGATAAAGTTAATGTAAACCCCACATACATTAATATTAAAAAATTCAAAAGAGTACTCTTTAAATTCAGATAATAGTTTATTAAGCTCATATGCTGTACTAGATACTGTGTTAGGTGCTGTGTAAATTCAGTAGTACAGGGATTATTATAGGAATTACAGTATAGCTATAATTAATAGATAGTTTTATCCAGTCACAATAGCTACTTTGTAACATTGCTATTAAAATTGTAATCTTTTATTTTCTAGATGGCTATTGACCAGGCCCACAGACAGAATGTCTCCTCTCTTTTTCTCCCAGTGATTGAGTCTGTGAATCCCTGCTTAATTCTCGTGGTGCGTAGAGAAAATATTGTAGGAGATGCAATGGAAGTCCTTAGGAAAACAAAGAATATAGATTACAAAAAGCCGCTCAAGGTAATTTGACATTTTATTCTGTATAATCGGAATTTTTATTCAGAAACAGTGTTTAACATTTTCCTATTTTTTTAAATTATTTTTTGTGGTAAAATTAATATATAACGACGTTTGCCGTTTTAGCATTTTTTATGTGTATAACTGTCTCCGTTATCTGTTTTCAAATTTTTTCATCACCATTAACAGAAACTCAGTGCCCCTTAAACAAACCTCCCTTTCCCCCTAATTTCCTATTTGTCTTTAATATGTCTTCGGTACTTAATTTTTTTTTAAATGTAATTTTTTTAAAACTAGTAATTGCTGAGCATTTATTCGTAATAAATAAGATGTTAAGGGGGTCTCCAGAATGTACTTTCATTTCTTTACAATCTATTCAGTGTTTTATTGTGCTATTTTAGGTTATTTTTGTTGGAGAAGATGCTGTTGATGCAGGAGGAGTTCGCAAAGAATTTTTCTTGCTCATCATGAGGGAATTATTGGATCCTAAATATGGCATGTTTAGGTATTATGAAGATTCCAGGCTCATTTGGTTTTCTGATAAGGTAACAAGTCATAACCCACCTAAATTACTTCTGAGTATATGCCTGTGTTTGTATACCTATATGTATCAAGTTCACTCAGTAAATAACAGCATAATTACTGGATTCCTAACATGTTTTATTCAGAGATCTGCTTTACAATAATTTGAAAATTATAAACTGTCTGGATTCAGGGTCATCGAAACACGTAACGTTTACTATACATTTCAAATTAGCAAAATAAATTAAGGAATGGTCAGTCCAAAAAAAAATTAATGTTTGCTGTTCCTTCTGCTTATTTAGATTTGGAGAGTGAATAATATTTACCGAGTTAACATTTCTTCTGGGAAGAATTAAATTATTATTAGGAATCATTGATTTCTTTAATTTATCCTTTAGGGCAGGGTTCAGCAAAATACAGTCCATAGTCTAATTCTTACCAGCCCATATTTTTGTAAATAGTCACAACCATTCATTTACGTCTTGCCCATGACTGCTTTTAAGGAGCCCTGGTGACACAGTGGTTAAAGCACTCAGCTGCTAACCGAAAGGTCGGTGGTTTGAACCCACCAGCTGCTCCATGAGAGAAAAATGTAGCAGTCTGCTTCCCTAAAGATTACAGCCGAGGAAACCCTATGGGGCAGTCTTACTCTGTCCTGTAGGGTTTGCTATGAGTCAGAATCGACTTGACAGCAACAGGTGTGACTGCTTTTGAGCTACACTGGCAGAGGCAGAGTTGAACAGTTGCAACAGAGTTGCTAACAGAGCCTGAAATATTTACAGTCTGGTCCTTTACAGAAAACATTTGCCGACCCCTGTTTTAGGGAATATAAGTGAAATTGAAATGATTGGTTCAGTTAGTAGGCTCTGAGTTGAAAGAAACCAGAATAGAATGTCTACTGTTCATTCTAAAATCCTTGTACCATAAAATCCTTAATCATTGTACCAGGAGGCTGGCTATCTTGTGTGATGCTTCCAGTTACTGATGCTCAGTGCATTGTTGTTATTGTAGGTCGCCATCGAGTCAGTTCTGGCTCATGATGACCCCATGTGTGTAGAGTAAAATTAGTCCATAGGGTTTTCAAGACTGTGCCCTTTCAGAAGCAGATCGCCAGGCCTGTCTTCTGAGGTGCCTCTGGGTGGGTTCAAACCACCAACCTTTTGGCTAGTGTTGAGCACTTAACTGTTTGTGCCACCCAAGGACTCCTGTTTAGTGCCCAGAATCACTGATTTATTAGGGGTTGCAAAATGGAGCTACTCTAACGCATCTTTTTCATTTATCAGCTTGAATACTTCTATACAGAGAAATTTCCCCATATCTAGCATTTAATTGCTTAGTAATACTGTTCATAAGGAGGCCTGATGGCACAGTGGTCAAGTGCTCAGCTGCTAAACGAAACAGTGGTTGGAGTCCACCAGTGGCTCTGCCCCTTATTAACAGTTTTTGACTTAAAATTTATTTTGTCTGATATTAGTATAGCCACTCTAGCTCTCTTTTGCTTACTATTTGCATGGAGTATCTTTTTGCAGACTTTCACATTCAACCTCTTTGTGCCTTTGGATCTAAAGTGAGTCTCTTGTAGACAGCATATAATCAGAACATGGTTTTCTATCCATTCTGTCAATCTGCTTTTTTGTTGGAGACTTTAATCCATTTACATGTAATCACTGAAAGGAAGTACTTCTGTCATTTTTCTGTTTGTTTTCTGTGTGTCATATCTTTATTTTTGTTCCTCAGTTCCTCCATTTCTGCTTTTTGTGTTTAATAGATTTTTTCTAATGTATTGTTTTTATTCTCTTCTTACTTCCTTTTCTGTATATATTTTAGTTATCTTCTTCGTGGTTGTGCTGGGGATTACAATTAACATCTTAAATTGATGACAGTCTAATTTTAATTAATATCAGTTTAGCTTCAGTAGTATATAGAAATTCTGTACAGCTCCATCTTTCTCCCTCATCTTGTTATTGGCACAGTTGCATCCTTATTTAAAAAGTATACTGGCTTTTATATTTACTTATGTAGCTACCTTTGTTAGTGTGATATTCTTCTTCATGTGGCTTTAAGTTAGTCTAGTGTCCTTTTATTTTCAGCTTGTAGGATTTCCTTTAGCATTTCTCCCTCATTTTTGAGGCATAGTTTTGCTGGATATAGAATTCTTGCTTGACAGTTTTTCTTCAGCCCTTTAAAAATATGTCACCCCACTGCTTCTGGCCTCCACAGTTTCTGATGGAAAATCAGCTGTTAATCTTATTGAGGAGCTTATGTACATGACAAGTTGTTTCTTTCTTGCTGGTTTTAAGATTTTCTCTTTTGTTTTGGTTTTTGACACTTTGATTACAGTGTGTCTCCATGTGGATCTCTTTGAATGTAATCCTACTTGGAGTTTGTTGAGCTTCTTGGATGTGTGGATTCATATGTTTTATCATTTTGACTGTTATTTTAATCAATTATTCTTTCTACCTCTTCCTTTCCTCTCCTTCAAGAATTCCCACTGTATACGTGTGTGTATGCTTGATGGTGTCCCACAGATCTCTTAAACTCTGTTCATGTTTCTTTATTCTTTTTTCTTTCTGTTCCTTAGACTGGATAATCTCAGTTGACCTCTCTTCCAGTTTGCTAATTCTTTTTTCTGCCTGTCCAAATCTGCTATTGAACCCCTCTAGTGAATTTTTCTTTTCAGTTATTGTACTGTTCAGCTCCAGATTTTGTATCTTTTTTTTGTAATTTCTATTTTTGCAATGATATTCTCTATTTGGTGAGATATTGTTCTCCTGGTTTCCTTTAGTTCTTTGTTTGTGTTTTCTTTAGATCTTTGAGCTTATTTAAGACAGTCGACTAAAGGTTTTGCTAGTAAGTTGTCTGGATTTCCTCAGGAAGAATTTATATTAATTTATTTTTTTTATTTTGAATGGGCCATATTTTCTTGTTTCTTTGGATGCCTCATAAATTTTTTGTTGAAAATTGGACATTTTGTATTTTATAACATGGTTACTCTACAAATCAGATTCTCCACTCTCTCTGGGGTTTGTTGTTGCTGCTTGTTGTGTTTTGTTGTTTAGTGACTTTCTTCTTTTTGTGAAGTCTACATTTTGTGTGAGCACTGAGCACTCTTTTCCATTAACTTAGTGGTTAGCTAGTGACCTGACGGAGATTTTCTTAAATATCAAGAGCCAAAAGAAAAAACAAAACTTTACCAGTCTTTGCAGATTGGTTCTGTTTTGGGGCACTCCTTCAACACTTAGCCACAGCATTTACAACTCTGTCAAGCCATTTACATCTCTACCATATCCTTCACTTCGTGATTCCGTGGCATCTAAAGATCAGTCAGAGGTGAGAGCTTAGGTTTTTCTCAGGTCTTTTCTCAGCATGCATGCAGGGCATGTGTATGACCCTGTAGATCCTCAGATACATATATAGAAGCTTTTTAAAGCCCTTATTCCTCAAGTATGTCTTCCCCAACCTCTTTATTTCCAGGCTTTCATCTGTCTGTTGTTTACCCCGAACTGTTATCTGTTGCCCTAGGAGGATGCAACTGATGTATTTGCCACCTTTAAATGTTTTGACAAGTGCCACTTAGGAAGCTGCTTGAGCCTTTGGGAAACTCTGAGGCAGGTGTAACAAAGGCAGGCCCTTCAGCTGATCATTCTGGAAGCCACCAGGCAGGTCAAAAGATGCCACCCAGTTCTTTGAGATTAAGGTTTATATTGCTCCCTCTGGTATCAAAAGTCGTAGCAGGAATGCAGGCTGTTACCTTCACAGCAACTGCCAAGCTGGGAAGCAGAAGATACTAAATGAATAAAAACACCACAGCACTCTTATCAGAATTCAGCACTTCTTTTGTCATTAAACATTCCCTTGCTTGTTGTAAGCTTGTTTTAGATTTCAGAAGTTCGAAAGAGTTGATTCCTACAGTTTTTGCCAGTTTATTCATTGCTTTTTTTGAGGGATGAAGTTTTGGAGTTCCCTATTCTGCCATTTTTGGGGACATCACCTTAGTATGTTCTTTTTGACTGGATCCAGTTTATTTTTCAAGGATATACCTTTCCTTATCTCTCTGATGATATTGATGATTATTGCTCCCCCCACCATTTTTTCAGAGTTTCTTTTTGTTTTCTACAGTGCCACTAATTTCTCCAGGTTACGTTTTCCTGTTTTTATTTTTTTCCTTGTGATTCTTAGCTGTCTATATGAACACCTAAGAGTGTGTTGCTGAAAAGCTACCTAGATACTTTGTGTGCATGGGTATATACATTTGTTGATTTAGTTTCCGTCCATAGTGGTATTAGGTGGGGACCTTTTAAGGGGAAACCCTCAACTGTTAGTATATGCAGTTTTTTTTTTTTCCCCTTGAGACTTTCAAGAGAGGTTATAATAACCCTGGCCGTGAGCATTCTGGGAAGCTAGGATTCTCATTGTTCATTATATAGACCCATCAGCTGTCTCAGATTGCAGAGCCTCTTCGGTCTAACCTTTCCATGACAAAAGACTTTCCGCCAAGTGTCCTATTTTCAAATCCATTTGAATATCCCTAACTTTATAGGTATTGGTCCTTTCAGTTCCTGAGCCTGCAGCACAAATTACCTTGTTTTTTATTGTCTTTCCTCCTGCAAGCTAATATTTTAGTTTTTTCTGCTTTACTAGATCAGTTACCGGTCATCCATCTGCGTTTCATCCATTGAAATTTTGTTAACATCTTTTTAGTGTCATAAACCTTCTCTATTCTCTTTTTTCTGAGTTTATACCCTTTTGTTCCTTTATTCTTGTGTAGAGGGATTTCAAGAGGGAGAGAGATTAACACATTTGATCTGCCCTGTTTAAGGACTTTGTAAACTTAAACACAATGTAGGACATCACGAAGGAGAAAATATTAATTTGATGACTGAAAAATGTGATATTTCTGCACAGATGGGGTGGTCATGAGTGAGTATTGACTTGATGGCAGCTAGCGACAACAACAACATGCGTAACAGAAACCTGTCATTAAAAAGCTTAGAACAGACTGGAATGTATGTAACAGACATGACACAGGCTAGTAACTCTAATATATGAAGAATTCAAATACAAATACGTAAGAAGAAAACTCTAGTCCCCAAAAGATTAAAATGGGGATGGGGAGGGAGGGAGAGGGGTATTCACTGACTAGAAAGTAGAGAAGAATTATCTTAGGTGAAGGGAAGGACAGCACACACTACAGGGGAATTCAGCACAACTGGACTAAACCAAAATTAAGAAGTTTCCTGAATATCGCCAGACACTTCGAGGGACAGGGGGCAGGAGTCTGGGGACCATGCTTTCAGGGGACATGTAGGTCAGTTGACATAACAAAGTTCATTAAGAAAATGTTCTGCATCCTACTTTGGTGAGTTGCATCTGGGGTCTTAAAAGCTAGTGAGCAGCCATCTAAAATGCATGAGTTGGTCCCAACCCACCCTGAAGTAAAGAAGAATGAAGAACATCAAAGACACAAGGAAAGTATTAGCCCAAGAGACAGAAAGGGCCACACAGACCAGAGACAGCATCATCCTGAGACCAGAAGAACTAGGTGGTACCCAGCTACTACCAGTGACCGCCATGACAGGGAACACAACAGAGAGTCCCTGATGGAGCAGGAGAAAGGTAGGGTGCAGAACTCAGATTCTACTAAAAGACCAGACTTAATGGTCTGAGACTGAAGGAATCCCAGAAGGCATGGCCCCCAGACTCTGTCAACACAGAACTGAAACAATTCCCGAGGCCAACTCTTCAGACAAAGATTAGACTGGACTGTGGGACATGTGTGCTTCTTAGCTCAAGTAGATACATGAGACTAAATGGGCTGCTTCTGCCCGGAGGTGAGATGAGAGGGCAGAGAGGGGTCAGGAGTTCGTTCAATGGGCACGGGAAATCAGGTGGAAAGGAGGAGTGTGCTTTCATGGTATAGGGAGAGCAATTAGGGTCACATTTTTGTATGAGAGACTAGAATTGTAAACTTTCACTTTAAGCACAACAATTTAAAAAAAAACCCACAATGAAATACCACTGCACACCTATTAGAATGGCTAAAAGTAAAAAGACTGACCACACCAAGTACTTAGAAGGATGTAGAGCAATTGAAACTCTCATACTTTGCTGGTGGAAATAGAAAAATGGTACAGCCGCTTTTGGAAAACAGTTTGGCTGCTTTCTTACGAAGTTAAACATACATATACAACCCAGCCATTCCATTCCTAGGTATTTTACCCAAGTGAAGTAAAGACTTAATGTTCACACAAAAACCTGCACACAAATGTTTATAGCAGCTTTATTTGTAATCACCAAAAACTAGAAACAAACCAAATGTCCCTAAACTGCGGAATGGATAAGCAAAAAAAACAAAAACAAAGTTGGAGGAAATGTAATTTGGTACGATCACTTTGGAGAACTGTTTGGCAGTGTTTACAGAAGTTGAACATATAACCCAGCAATTGCACCCCTAGGTATGTACCCAGCAGATATGCATAATGTGTTTGCCAAAAGGCATGTACAAGAATGGCCATGGCAGGTACTATTTATAATAACCCTGAATAAAGAGTCTGACTCCAAAAAAAAAGATTAAAATGGGGCAAGTACATGAAGAGACATTTTATGAGCACTTAAAATCACCAATTTTCTGCATTACTGATAGTCAAAATACGTATACTAGAACAAGTTGTCATTTTAAAACTTCAGACAAAAATGTGTATGTGTGTATATACATAGAATATGGAGAGGGAGACATTTTCTTGGGCTACAAATGGCAGTATAAACTGGAATTCTTCCTTACGAAGCAGAGTTTCTCCTAAGAAAATATTGCAAGCCATGGACCAAAATATATGGGGCGAATAAAGCCCATCTTATTTTGAGTATTACTAACTAGTAATATCTAACATTTACTGAGCCTTTTCTCTGTACTTCAGAAACTGGGTACATAATCCCATGTAATGCTCACAACAGTCATGTCAGAACACAAAAGGTAGATAGTGACTGACCCAGGCCTGGAGTTCAGGTATAATAAAAAATTTAATCTCTTAACTGTCACGGTCACAGAAGTTTTTGTGAACATCATATATTCTCTAATTAGATGGGGAAAAAGATAAACAGTGTTTTCAATGTTTTAATATTTAAATGTCCAACTACAGTAAAATAGCTAATTTAACAGAACATGGTACTTCTACATGATGTAATGTGCAGCTGTTAAAAATCGTGTTCTGGAAAAATATTTAATGACATAAGAGAACATGCTCATGTTGTAATTAAAAAAATGAGATAAAACCTTAAATGCTGTATGTTTTTAATTATTTTTCTGGACTTAAAGTAGATAGCAATACCCACAAAAATTTTTCAATCATTGTTTCTCAGTGTGCGTTACAGGTGGGGTTTTTTTGTTTGTTTTTTAATGTTTTTAAATTCTGAATGTGTATTATTTTAAATCAGGAAAAAAATCTTAATCATTTTATGTATTAATGTTTAATAACATGGAAAATGTCTATTTCTTGAAAAAACCAATTGTGAAGTTATACATATAGTATGAGCTCAGCTAGATTTTAATTTTTTAAATCTTAGAAAATACATTAGACTTAGAAATGTTCAAAAATACTAATATTAATGAAGAGATAGGAATAAAGATGAACTTTTTTCTTCTGATTCATTACTGTTTTCTGTATCTTCAAAATTTTATAAGCATATGTTTTTATAATCAGAAAAAAGTTTTTAGTGTTTTAACTGGGAGGACTTTTTTTTTTCTTTTCCTTTTGTGTCTTTAGACATTTGAAGACAGTGATCTGTTCCATTTGATTGGTGTTATCTGTGGATTAGCAATTTACAACTTTACTATTGTGGACCTCCATTTTCCTTTGGCTTTATATAAGAAACTGCTGAAAAAGAGGCCATCCCTGGATGATTTGAAAGAACTAGTGCCTGATGTTGGGAGGTTAGTTGTAAAACGTGGCAGGAGGTAGGCAAGGGGGAATGTACAAAGAGCTTTTCCTTCTAGGAATAATTGTATTTTGTTGTTGTCTTGTTAAATTTCCAAAATAAAAATCCTTCTAATAAAGGAAAATCTATTGTTACGTTACTCAGATCCAAAATTTTCTACTGAAAGACTATGAGTATAAAACCATTTGCTGAATTTCTAATGTTTTAACAATACTTTATGAATATCAGATAACAAATAACAGAAGATCATGTTTTCCTAAGAGTAGTTAAATGATTTATTTGGACTTTTACTTCTGATCATCTTCAGCCCTAGCTGGAATATGTAAAATTTTATTTATGAAAACACGACAATGAAAATTGTATGTAAATAAGGACAGATGTTGCAAATAGATGGATACATGGTCATTGTATTCAGAGGAAGAGATAAAAACCTTAGAGTAATTTTTTTTCTTCCTCAAAGTTGTTTGTAAGAGTGCCATTGCATATCACTATTTTGAAACAAATTAACAAGAGGATTTTATTCGAGTGAATGGTAAATACATATTCATAGGCAAAATAGTCAAAACACTGAATAATGTTTTACCTCAAAGGAACATATATATTATTTTGCAGAAGCATGCAGCAATTACTGGATTATCCAGAAGATGATATAGAGGAAACATTTTGTCTTAATTTTACGGTAAGATGAAAAGACATAGATTGGCCTGATCATTATTCATCATCCCTTTAACAGCTGTCCCTTATGTTTTTTTCTTTATCTTGATGGATACAGTTCTTAAAGAACCCTTTAGCTAACATTTATTGAGTATTTACTATGTGCTAAGCACGATACAGAGGGAGCCCTCGTGGCGCAGTGGTTAAGCGCTCAGCTGCGAACCGAAAGGTCAGCAGTTCAAACCCACCTGCTGCTCTGCTGGAGAAAGATGTGGCCGTCTGCTTCCGTAAAGATTACAGCCTTGGAAACTCTATGGGGCAGTTCTGCTCTGTCCTAAAGGGTTGCTATGAGTCAGAATCAACTCAGCTGCAACGGGTTTGGTGTTTCAGTTTTGGCACAGTCCCATCCACTGCTGTCAAGTCGATTCTGACTCATAACAACCCCATAGCATTTCCAAAACTGTAAATCTATCTCTACGAAAGCAAACTGCTACATTTTTCTTCCGCAGAGTCGCTGGTGGTTTCGAACCACCGACCTTTCAGTTAACAGTTGATTGCTTTAACCACTGCACCCCTTAAGCACGATACATGCATTGTTTTATTTGACTCTCACAAGAATCCCATGAGGTTGGTATTATCCCCATTTTACAGATGAAGAAAACTAAAAACAGTCATTACATGTCAGAGGCAGTGTTCATACCCAACTCTGTCACTTCAAAGCCTATGTGCTTTATCGTTGTGTAAAGATATTTGTAAGTTCAAGGGGTTCTCTTTATCCAAGTGTTTTAGTCTTTAATTGTTTTAGTCTATAATTACAGGAATTCTTAGAGAAGGACAAGGTTATTATAACATGAGAATATTCATTAATGAACTTACAGCTTCAAAGATTCATTCCCACTCAGACATCCCTTTCTGCTTCACAGTAGCATTTGTCCATCTTATCTCAGTCACTTACTGTTAGATGACATACCACAATACAAATGCAAATACATTAGAATACTATTTGGAAAATGAAATTGCAAATCTTGTAAAAGATGTAAACTTTTATTAAATCGGTAAAAGGGATGTTGACTAACTGATCCAGTCACATGCAAAGCCATTGATGAATGAGCATCTGGCAGAATTTGACTACTTGGCAGTGAAAGAAGAGAAAAGCAGCAAGAATTATGATAAAACACTTCAGAAGGAAATGATTTTAATACTATAAATTAGAATCTTGGGGAAATGATGCAACTTTTCAGTTTTCTTCCTTTTTTTAAAAAACTTTTGTTTGTTTTCCTCCAGAACAGCCCACTTTATGATCTTGTGGTTAAAGGCTGCAGATGATACCATATTCTGCTGTCGTGCAATAATTTTTTTTTTTTCCTGAGAAAAAATCCTCTTTGAACTTTTTCTCACTATTTATGAAATTTTGGTTCCCCTTTTCAATTGATTCACTTATTCCCATATCAGTTATCCTTGGATCTTTATTGATCATCTTAATTTGCTGAAAAATTGGGATTGAAGCAGAGTAATTTCTAATTTGTTAATCAGCAAGTGTGTAAATTGTTAGTATATTCAAGAACTATGGTAAGTCAAACATTACTTCATCCTGCCATTTCTTTCTTTGAAGTTTTCAGTGGCTCTTTATTATTTACAGAATAGTAGGTTTAGAATGGGATCATAGATATTTGTAATCTGGTTTTCTTTCTGACTTCCGTTGTATTCCTCCATTCATCCCAAGCTTTGTCATATCAAACAGTATTCTTTAATATACCTTTTCTTCCTTGTTTTTAGGGAATACATTGTAGTATATTTTCATAACTTGATATTTATGCTCATATCTATCCTTGTGTTCAGTTTACGTGCTCAATCTGAAATCCAACCCACTCCCAGTCTTTCAGAATCCTACCCATTCTTCTAGGTACTTTTCAAGTGGCATTTCTCCCTTAGTCTTTTATACTTTCTCTAGTTAGAATTAAATTTTCTTTCCTGTATCATCTTATGACATTTTGTTTATGCTTACTATAAAATTATTTTACTATAGTGAACTGTATACATATCACATTTCCTCTCTTTTACCAGATAGTATCCTCCAGAACAGGGATGTGTTCATCTCTGTACCTTATCATCCCACTATCTGTTAGCAGATACTAAACAAATTTTCCCAGAAAAGAAGATAATATTCCAAAAATAGGGAAAAGAAAGAGAAGAAATGCAGATGTGGGAATGGTAATATTTAGAGGAATTAGCAGATTAGAAGGAAGATAAAAGTTTGAGCATTACCAGCTGCCTTTATAAAGTGACATAACTGGAAAAAAACCGCCTGTGATCAAGCATGCAGTCAGGCAGATATAAGAGATACAGAAGTAGCAGTTATAATGTGGGAAGAATCCCTATCTGTTTTAAGCTGAATACACTCTTACACTTGGATTCTATCACTTGTCCAAGGAAAACATCCTTTTTAATGCTTTACTCCTGAAGTGACTTTTCTAACGTTTTGTACACAGGAAGCAGTTTCCTGTTCTTAATTAACTAAATACTTGATAATTTATAGTTAGTTAGTCAATGTAGGATTTCATACTACTAGAAAGGATGAAAATTTTTAGTTGTGGCTTTATGGAGAAATCATAAATGAGCTTATGGTAACAGAAATTTACCTCAAGTTTACTACTTCTTACATTTAACTTAAGAAATCTAGAATATAATAATAGAATATTAAAATACTCTGAAGTATTGAGTCTGACGCTGACTTTTTTAAAAACTTAAATTAATAGATCACAGTTGAAAACTTCGGTGCAACAGAAGTGAAAGAGCTGGTTCTAAATGGTGCAAACACAGCTGTTAACAAACAAAATCGGTAAGTGAATTATGGAAGCATGAATGGTAGTTATAAGATTTGGTAGCTTTTTTTTTCTGTATTGGGAACGTCACAACCTTAAATTTTTACTCAGCTGAAACTTAGTTTTTGAATGGTTATTGAAGAAGTAATCTGCCTTTTACTCCTGAAGTCACTTTAAAATATCAGTAAAGGTATAAGAAAAAAAAAAAAACAAGAAAAAGGAGGAGAGAGGAGACATCAGCAACACATTTTTGGAGGTCAGATAACAGGGGTAACTAACTTCAGCCAGTCAGAGAAAACGGCATCATAAAGTGGACTGTAAGGCCAAGAAGTCACCCAGTTCATATTGCACAACAATGGCTCAGGTATGGAGAGTACAAAGAACTGTAGAAAGTGTATGGGCCTTGGGGGAATGCTGAAAACAGAATGATTGGCTGTTAAAAGAAAGCAGTTAGAAATCCATTTCCCTTATCAATAGTCTGGCAACCACTCCTCTCCAACCTGGACAGAAGATTGGAAATATACATTCTGGAGAGATTGAACTAATGGGACTGTGGACTTGAGGAAACCTCATCACAGCCAAGGGGAAGGGGCTGAACTGAAAACAAGGAGATTAAGTGAAAGTCTATAGCTCCCTTCCACTTGACACTGTATATTGGAGGATTCTTCTCTGGAGAAACTGGTTAACTCCTAAATGTGAATGGATAACCAAAGGTCAGTAGACGTTTAAGGAAAGATAGAAACCAAAACAGTCCTAAAGAATGCCGAGGTAATAGAAACAAAGCAGAATGAAGACCAAAACTTTTAAAAGAAATGGAAATTAGTATCATCAAAGAAATAAGAGTAACATCCAGATGGATGCTATTAAAAAAATTGAGGGAAAAAAATTCACTGAATTTAATGGAATGAAATTTATCAAAGAAATGGTGCAAGAAAACTTCCCAGAACTAAATGAGGTACCTTTCAAGATTGAAAGCATGGGAAATGATTGAAAGCATGGGAAATGAAAACAACCATTCCAAGGCACCAGTTGACCAGTTGCCGTCAAGTCGGCTTCTATTCATGGTGACCCCATCTGTAAGAGTAGAACTGTGCTCCATAGAGTTTTCAACAGCTGATTTTTTTGGAAGTAGATCACCAGGACTTTCTTCCAAAGCACATCTGGGTGGACTCAAACCTTCAGTCTTTCACTTAGCAGCCAAGTGCATTAACTGTTTGTACCACCAGGTACGTCAGGCAAGTTGAATGAAATTTTCAAATCCCTGGAGAAACGGATCCTGAAAGCTTCCAGAAAGAAATAGGTCATGTACAAAGAATTAAGAATCAGAATAACATCAGACTTCTAAAGAACAACACTGGAAGCTAGAAAACCAAAATTCTGGGAGAAAATTATTTTTAACATAGACTTCTGTATAAACTGTCAAGTATGTGGATGTATAAAAACATTTCCATACATACACAGTCTCAGAGAATTTACTTCTGATGTATTTTTCACAGGAAGTTACTGGAGGGTATATTTTACCAAAACAAGAAATTAAACCAAGAAAGAGAAGACACAGAATTTAAAAAAAAAAAAAAAAAAAAGATCCAATACAGGAGAGAGACAAAGAGGAATTCCTAGATTTAGAAAGAGCAGCCAATCCAGGTTAGATCAAGAGGACAGAGGACAGAATAATTGTCTCCAGGAAAAAAATGGAACTGGTGCTATGTAATATACTTGAGTGAATCTAGAAGAGATTGACATTTCTGTTGGAGAAGCTGGGGTGAAGTAGCTAACTAAAGGAAACAAAAGTTTTCTTTGAGAAAAGAAACGTAACCATGAAACACTCTGTAGCTTAGCTGTGAATAATAATTATAGTAATGATGATTATTGAACGAAAAATTGTTATATAAGTAAAATGGGAGCATGGGAAAAGGGAATATGGGAGTGGGGCAATTAAAATACAAGGTAAACCTCACTTTTTGCACTAGGTATTCAGTTCATTATATAATATTTAAAATTGAAAATCAAGGAATAACAGAGCTATGTTGTTAGAAATTTGAAGGTAAATACCAGAAGGAATAGCAAAAAGTTAACAGAGAGTTGCCTTTGAATAGCCAGAATTCAGATGGAGAGGTGCAGAACAGAGAACTGTTTTGTGTCTTCTATTTTGTTATAATTCTGTAGACAAACTAGCTCTTGCCCGGAACTTGATCCAAATGATTCCTGATTCTGCTGCTTCAAAGTTGTGTAGCTTAAAGTAAGTTAGTTGATGTCGACATGCCTCAGTCTCCTTTATCTGTAAGATGGGATGATAATTATACCTACTGCCTAGGGTTTTTAGGGTTACATGGGACAGTAATTATAAGATGGTTAGAATAGTATCTAGCACATGTATGTGCTTAGTAAATGTTGGCTATTATGATTATTACTATTTGATGCTTTAAACCATGCATATGTCTTGTTTTGATAACAATAAAACTTTTTACATGATATAAAAATTTTTTAGGTACTTCTAGCTAGCCTTTAAAAAAAAAAAATATTTGACTATGATTTAGAAAGATTTTTTTCCTGCTTTTAAAGTTTCTATTGAACTAATCCTCAATTAAATATATCTATATTATTTCATATAGATTAGTTTACAAATAATTTAAAGAATTTTGATATTTGTACTACCAATCATAGTTAGATAATGAAAGCATCATAGTCAAAAAATATGTTGGCACATAAAACAGTTCAGCCTTTTATGCTTAAGAGATTTACTAGTATAAAGAAATTTGACTTTCTGATTAGATTAATCAAAGTTTTGCATTATATTAAGTACATTACAGAATAGTTTCTTCTAAGCAGAACCTAATAGCATATGCTGTTTGATTTTTTTCCTTAGGCCCAAGTTTAGCACCAACATATTTCTGATTAGCCTATTTTAACCTTTTTTTTTTTTTTAAAGAACTGTTTTATAACTTGCTAAGAATTATCTGTAGATTTTTTAATTTACTAGTATTCCTGTTTGTAGAGTCATCCTTTATTGTTTGGAAGACAAGGGTATGAAATATTGAAGTTCTCTAGTACCCATTCTCATTATTGGTATGACCAGATAGCTGCATATGTTGTTCAGATTCTTTGAAACCCAAGGGGAATAAAATGCTCTGCAGTCTGCCAAATAGTCTGGATCCCAAAGGTCTTATTTTTCATCACCTAATATATTTTAACATATCACTCTTTTTAGGCATGTGTGTGGGGTGGTGCATGTAAGTTTTCAGTAGTTTGTGAATATTTAAAAATTATTTTCATAGTCATATGCATTGTTCTGCCCACTAGCAAATGACATGTTTCAGTTAGGAGTAGCCTACAAATGATTGTGGAATGAGTCTACATGCCTCATGGATATACAGATTTTTATATAGAAAGAATAATAGGCTTCTCCATAAAGACTTTGTCCCTTTTGAACTCTACTTTCTTAGTTTTGTAGATAAGTTTAAAAAAAAAAAAATGCAGGAGCTTCAGAGGTTTTAAAAAGACTACATTATATATTCTCCATAAAAAATGATTTTTATAATCTTCTGTACATGTGTGCTTTTTAATTCTAGGCAGGAGTTTGTTGATGCTTATGTGGATTACATATTCAACAAATCAGTGGCTTCCTTATTTGATGCCTTTCATGCGGGCTTCCATAAAGTCTGTGGAGGAAAAGTCCTTCAGCTCTTCCAGCCTAATGAGCTACAAGCAATGGTGATTGGAAATACAAACTATGATTGGAAGGAACTGGAAAAGGTAGGAAAATACAAGTCTATGACATTGTTTAAATGGAACGGCAGAAGAACGTGACTGACTGGTGGAAATCTTGCTCTCCTTTCCATGTTATATGATTTATTACTGTCATTTTACAGTAAAACACTGTACCCTGATTAATCCACAGTGAATGAACTTGAATTGTGTATGAATTAGAGATAGCATTTTTTTATTTTGTGATATTGGTGATGTTCATACAGAAAAATGTCACCTGCGACACAGCTGAATAGAAGCCCCAGCTAAAACTGAATGGATTTTCACTCTGCTTCAATCCTAGGAAAACCATTTTGAAAAGCACTTGTAATGAGTAAGCTCTTTGCTTTATTTTTCTCTGATTAGTCTTAATGTTAATTTTTTTAGCAGAGAATAAATGTTGCTCATGGTCTTCATTTCTGGTGCCTTAAATATATCCTTTGCGGGAGGGGGTGAATATATCCTTTGGCAGCAAGTTTTAAAATTGATTTTTTTTATTAACCCATAAAGGGGAATTTTGGAAAAAGACTGAGAATTTTTTAAGTAACTTTTTTTTCTTCTTCTCTAAGAAATTCTCAGATATTTCTTCAGAAAAATGTTTACTACAGAGTTGTAGATTAGCTATGAGAAAGATATATTCAGGGTTGACCTATACATTTTTCTATCTTTGTATATTAGCAGCCTCATAATTTTTGCATTAATAATTATTTGGGTACTGCACACCTGTTGGGATAGCTAACATAAAAAATACTGCCAATACTAAGTGCTAACAAGGATACAAAGCATTGGGAACTCTCATAAGTATTAGTGCGAATACAAAATGATACAGCAACTTCGGAAACGATTTGGCAGTTTTTTATAAAGTTAAACATAAACTTACCACATGACCTAGCAATCCCACTTCTAGGTATTAAATTACGTCCACTCAAAAATCTGTAAGTGAGCCAAAAACTGGAAAAAACCCAGATGTCCTTCCGTGAGTAAATGGATGCAAACAACCTATGTGTCTCCATACGGTAGAACACTACCGAGCAATAAAAAAGGAATGAACTGTTGATGCATACAACACCTTAGATGAGTCTCAGAAGTGGTATGAAAGAAGCCAGTCTCAAATTGTTGCATAGTATATGGTTCCATTTATATGACATTTTTGAAAAGACAAAACCATGATGACGGGTTAGGAATGGAGGGTATGTGTGACTGCAGAGGGGTGGGTAGCCCAGAGAGGTTTTTGGAGTGACAGAACTGTTTGTATTCTGGTTTTGGTGATGGTTACACAAAACTATACATGTGTTTAAAACTCATAGAACTGTACACATACCAGAAAAAGCCAATTTTACTGTGTATTAATTTAAGGAATAATAAAACTCATAGAACTGTACACATACCAGAAAAAGCCAATTTTATTGTGTATTAATTTAAGAAATAAAATTTTTTTAATTAAAAACAATAATTAGAGTCTTCTGTTAAACACAGTGGAGTAAACACGTTTATTTCTGCTTCCTTTCAAAATCTCACTAGAATGGAAATAAAGGAATAGAAATAGAAATATACCTACCTACCCCACCTCCAAAAATTTCAGTGAACAAGAGATAGCTTTTGAAGATGGAAAACAAGTAGAAAGTGATGAGTGACTTACAGCAGAGAAAATTTAATTCTAAACCTCCAGGGGAACAGTCATCAAGGGGCAACCCATTTTATACCTTTAAGTCTCTGAAAGGATCAGGAATTGGTGCACCATGTTACTGATGGCAGGAATGTGGGGTTGGGCTAAAAGCAGCAGAATTACTTCAAATTCTAGTTAAAGGAATCATTAGACCTCTTGTGTTCCCTCTCCTATTCAGCAAAAGACAACTTTGGAGAGAGGCTTTAATATCCTGAAAACCAGGTAAAACTGCAGATGACACCCAGAAGGCTGGTAGCCTGGCTTAAGTACTCCAGGAAGGAGATTCAGGGCTGCTTTTTCGGGTAAATTGACCTGCTCAAGAGAAGACATCTATAGATACTGACTTTAAGGGGTTCCCCAATGGAAATGAACCTCACTTCCAGTCATCCTAAAATGAAAATGATATAATGACTTCTCATCACACTTAAAGTATGAAACAAAGTATTTACAATGACCTAAAGATCTTATATAATTTGACCCTTCTTGCGTCATCTCTCATTCTTCCTCTCACTTCCTCTGCTTTGGTCTTATTGGTTTCTTTGCTGAGTCTAGTACCCACCAGGCACACTCCAGCCCTAGAACCTTTGTATCGCTGTTCCTTTAGCCTGGAATTCTCTTCACCTTGATAATCCCAAATGGTTCTTGTTTTCACCTCCTTAATTTCTACCTTCTCAGAAACTTTCCTTGGAAACCTTGTCTAAAATTGCAGTCCCCTCACACGCTGTCTCCTTTTCCTGTGTTATTTTTTTTCTTTGAATCTGATATAATGTAACTTTTACTTATCTTTACTCTCTGTCACCCTTTTGCCCCACTACAATGTAAGCGCCACAAGAGCAGGATTTTTGTTTTTTCACTGCTGTGTTCTCGGTGCCTAGAAGAGCACTCACTAAGTACTTAAAACCTTGCCTGAAAACAGATTGTTGACAGAAGTGTTCATTTAGTAAGACAGAATGTTTTTTAGTACACCTTAGTGTACTTTGGTTTCTTCTGATTCATGAGATAGATCAATAGATCGATCTCATTAATCAGAAGAAACCAAAGTATACTAAGTTTTTTTACACATATATATATATATATATGTACGGAAACCCTGGTGGCGTAGTGGTTAAGAGTTCAGCTGCTAACCAAAACGTCAGCAGTTCAGATCCACCAGGTGCTTCTTGGAAAGTCTGTGGGGCAGTTCTACTCTGTAGGGTTGCTATGAGTCGGAATCAACTCGACAGCAACGAGTTTGGTTTTGGTTTATATATATATGTGTGTGTATATATCATGAGGACTGTGTACACATGTCTCCAGATCATTTAGAGATTTACAAAACAAAACTTTAAGCATCCTTCTTTCATTCCCCACCAACATGCTCACAGACTTTAAATAAGTCAGTAAATGAAGTTACTCTGTGAAGAAAACCAAAGACAGAAGGGAAAGATTAGTCCAAAGGACTAATGGACCACAACTACCACAGCCTCCACCAGACTGAGTCCAGCACAACTGGATGGTGCCCAGCTACCACCAGTGACTACCCTGACAAGGGATCTCAATAGAGGGTCCCGGACAGAGGTGGAGAAAAATGTAGAACAAAATTCTAACTTACAAAAAAAGACCAGATTTACTGGTCTGACAGAGACTGGAGAAACCCCGAGAGTATGGCCCCCAGACACCTTTTTAACTCAGTACTGAAGTCATTCGTGAAGTTCACCCTTCAGCCAAAGATTGTTAGGTGCCATCGAGTCTCCAATTCATAGCGACCCAGTGTACAACAGAATGAAACACTGCCCTGTCCTGCACCATGCTCACAATTGCGTTGTGCTCGAGCCCATTGTCGCAGCCACTGTGTCAATCCATCTAATTGAGGGTCTTCCTCTTTTTCGCTGACCTTATACTTTACCAAGCATGATGTCCTCAAGGGACTCATCCCCCCAACAACATGTCTAAAGTATGTAAGACGTAGTCTCACCATCCTTGCTTCTAAGGAGCATTCTGGTTGTATTTCCAGCCAAAGATTAGATAGGCGCATAAAACAAAACAAGACTAAATGGGCACACCAGCTCAGGGGCAAGGACAAGAAGGCAGGAGGGGACAGGAAAGCTGGTAATGGGGAACCCAAGGTTGAGAAGAGGAGAGTGTTGACATACGGGATTGGCACCCAGTGTCACAAAACAATATGTGTATTAGTTGTTTAGTGAGAAACTAATTCACTCTGTAAACATTCATCTAAAGTACAATAAAAAAAAATTTATTCTAGAATTTTAACTATTTTCTCCAAACATGTTTGCAAATAACAGCAAATATTTTGTATAAACTGGATTTGAATTATTTAGAGTTTAGTGAGTGAGATAATCATGACTATAAATAGGACGAGCTCAAAATTCAGTCAGCACACCCATGAGCGAATATTTATTGAGCCCTTGCTGGATGCCTGATACTATACAAGGAATTAGACAGCAGTGAGTAAGATTAAGACATGTGTTTTGCACTCCTAGAGTTTATAGTCTGATAAGGAAGCTAGACATTAAATACTTAATTAAATTGTGATAAATACAAATCAAGAGTAAGGTTTTAGTGAATGATATAAAAGATGAACCTAACTTAGGCCACACAAATATGGGGACCTCTTAGTAGATGGTAAGGATTTTGTTCACTGCGTTTTCTCTGGGCCCCAAAACTTCAACTAAAACTTATCATATATTTGTTGAATGAATCAGTGAATGAATTAGGTAACATTTAATCTGAGCCCTGAAGGACAAGTAGAAATTAGCCTGATGAACAAAGGAAGAAAGAGGATGTGTCTTAAGTGATCTAGGCTGAGGAAACAGTGCGTCCAAAGGCCCTGATGGCTGGAAGGATCCTGGTATCTAAGACTAAAAGTTAAGGCCATTTGTGTGGCTGAATTGCAAGAACACTTCACAATGTAGATTTATTACCCCTTCTCTCCCCTACCCTCTCTCTGTTATTGCTAATATTTCTGAAAGGGGAAATGTATTAGTTATTTGTTGCTCTAAATTACCCTAAAACTTGGTGACTTAACAATGAGCGTTTATTATCTTACACAGTTTCTGTGGGTCACCAATTCAGGCGGGGCTTAGTTGGATGCTTCTGGCTCAGGGGTCTCTCATGAGCTTGTAATGAAGATCTTGGCTGGCATAAAAAGGACGAAGTTCTTATAGATGCTACAACACGGATGAATCTGAAAACATTATGCTAAGTGAAATAAACCAGATACAAAAGGACAAATATTTTATGATTGTATTCATATGAAATATCTAGAATAGACAAATGCTTGTGGGGAGGGGGAAATAGGGAGCTATACCTTAATGGGTACAGAGATTCTGTTTGGGGTGATGAAAAAGTTTTGGAAACGTACGGTGGTGATGGTTGCACAGCACTGAGTATGATTAATACCATTGGATTTTTTTTTTTTTTTTTGTAAACTGTTTTTTGGTAAAAGTTCACCCAGGAAATTAGGTTCTCATTTAATTTCTATGCATATTTTTCAGTGACATTGGTTACGTTTTTCACAATGTATCAGCATTCTCATTATTTCCATTCAGGTTGTTCTGATTCCCTTAATCTAGCTTCTCTTCCCCTTTTACCTTTGATCTAGGGAAAATGTTTACCGTTTGGTTTCATTTAGGTGATTATTTAGAGGAGCACAGTAATCATAAGCGATATTTATTTTATGGACCAATCTGTCATTTGGCTGAAAGGTGACTTCTGGGAGTGGTTTAAGTTTGAAGTTTAAAGGGTATCCTGTGGTGATAATCTTGGAGATTCATCTAATCTTTACCAGTTAGGAAGTCTGATGCCATTGGAGTTTACAGTCAAAAATGGCTAAAATGGCAAATTTTACATTGTGTATATTTTACCATCATAAAAATTAAAAATACATACTGGTTGGCACTGCTGTCATCCGAAGACTTGATTAAGGCTAGAGATTTACTTCCCAGATGGCTCGCTTACATGGCTATCAGCAGGCGGACTGTTTCTCACCATGAGGACCTCTTGCCATAGGGTTGTTTGAGTGCCCTTATGAGATGGCAGCTGGGTTTCCCCCAGAGCAGGTGATCCAAAAGAGAGGCAAAAGCCACAGTGTTTTTATGATCTAGTCTCATATTCCCTCATATCTTCCCTCATATCTGCAATATCCTAATGATTACCCAGGTCAGGCCTGTTCATTGTGGGAGGGGACTACACAAGGGCATGAGTACCAGGAGGTAGAGATCAGTGGAGGCCGTCTTAGGAACTGGCTGTCACAGAAAATTATTCATGTTGTTCTTAAACCTGTTGCCATCAAGTCAGTTCTGACTCATAGCAACCCTATAGGACAGAGTAGACCTGCCCCATAGGGTTTCCAATCTCCAAGGAAGCAGACTGCCACATTTTTCTCCTGCAGAGCTGCGGGTGGGTTCAAATTGCCAACCTTTCAGTTAGCAGCTGAGCACTTAACCACTGCACCACCTGGGCTCCTAGTGTTGTTCTCAGTACTGTTGTTTTTTCAAGGGACGATAGAATGTAAAATAATTTTACTTCTGATGTAAATGCAGGAAAAGAAAGTTTTATTATAATCATAGATAATTCTATGTTGAAATTTACTAATTCTAGTTTATTCTTATTTGCATATTTACTTTTGAAGGTGGTATTACAATCCTATCACTTTCTTTGAAGTGGTGGAAGACATTGTTGCTGATTCATAACATATTTCCTTCCCTGGAACTAAGCATACCATATTGTAAAATGCCCAGGAAATAGTAGATAATCAGCTGGATCACATAAGTTTCAAACTTATGCACCATGTTAGCGTTGTATTCTAAGGAAGCCAATTAGCCCAATTTAATGTAAAACTAATACTTCTTAATAGTCATAAAAGGTTATGTTGTTTTTAGAATACAGAATACAAAGGAGAGTACTGGGCAGAACATCCTACGATAAAAATTTTCTGGGACGTGTTTCATGAATTACCATTGGAAAAGAAAAAACAATTTCTGTGTAAGTATTTCTAACTAGTTGTATATTTTATGAGAATGGAATCTAATTATTAACTTTGTCTCATAGAATATTAATTTAATTGATTTATTTTGGTGGACTAAGTTTTTATATATATATATTATTATTATTATTCCAAGATACTGTTTTTAATCTTGAGGTACAATAATTTTTTTTTTTAAAACAGCTGACCTGCATTCTTTATTACATGTGCTTTCTTATTTCAAAAGCTACATTCACTTTGCCTGTAAAATAGCATTGGTTCTTTCAAATGAAAACAAACTAATTACAGGAAAGTAGGAGTGTAGGGTTCCTTTTAGAATTTCTACTGTGAACTCTGGTGCATAGCTCTTTTCTGTGTTCTGTCTTTATTTTCTTTGCTTCAGTATCAAAGCTTTGGAAATTTCTATAGCCTTAGTTCCCTCATTTAGAACCTCATCTCCCTTGTGTCTTTCATCTGTTGAAATCTGACTTACTTTTAAATAAAGTTGTCTGAATATATGTATCTAACTCAGTGACATTCTCTTTAATACTTCGGATGTTGATAAAGAATATTTTTGGCAGTTTTTTTGAGAATTGATATGAGAGTCTTGGTTAAGTTTTTTTGCATATCAATATCAACATTGACAAGTCAGTATTCTTTGAAAGTGATTTGAGTTTTGTTTGCCCATTATAAATCGTTAAATGACACAGAAACAGAACAACTAGAAAAAGGAATTAAAATCAAAACTGCATTTTTTTATTTGGTTTATAAACTAGGTCTTGACAGCTCTTCCCAAAAAAGGGCTCTCAAAATGTTTTTTGTCAGTGACAAGTTATTCATTCATCAGACATTTATTAAGCACCACCTGTGTGCCATATTAGGAAACCCTGGTGACATAGTGGTTAAGAGCTACAGCTGCTAACCAAAAGTTTGGCAGTTTGAATCCACAGGCGCTCCTTAGAAACTCTGTGAGGCAGCTCTGCTCTGTCCTGTAGGGTCGCTGTGAGTCAGAATCGACTCAGTGGCATCGGGTTTGGTTTTTTGGTTTGCTGTGCCATATTAAGATTATACTTTTAAAGGGGAAATATTGTTTGGATGGTGTAATTAGTATGTGTCTCAAAAATCTTGTCTCCCACAAACTCTGGAGATAGGCTTCCACATTAAAGCAAATGTTAATGTAAAACTTTGTTATAGTGACTGTCTGCTAAATAACATGGCACTCTATATTATTGTTTTCATAGAAACTGGTTGGCTTAATGATTTTTTTTTTTTCTCGGCAGTATTCTTGACAGGTAGTGATCGCATTCCTATTCTTGGTATGAAGAGTCTAAAACTAGTCATTCAGTCAACAGGAGGTGGTGAAGACTATCTTCCAGTTTCCCATACCTGTTTTAATCTTCTGGATCTTCCAAAGTATACAGACAAAGAAACTCTACGATCTAAACTGATCCAAGCTATTGATCACAATGAAGGCTTCAGTTTAATATAACTTTGGAATTATTATATCTGTTGAGTTTAGTGCAAGAGCATTAAACTATTTGTGTTATTCTTGTGGTGATGCATTCAGCGAGGTGACAGAGGTACTGTTACAATTCTTACTTGGAAAATGTTCATTGCTATTCATGAAAGCCAAAAAAAAAAGGAAAATGAACAAACTCTGTCAATATCAAACTTACTGTACAGAACCATGGATTTTTTTTTTTTGCCATCTTCCAATAAATATACAAGTATTGTGAATACATTAAAGTTTTACTAACATGAATTTTAAGAGTTTGCATATTTCAAAAATGATTGGTGTGTGAGTGCATGGAAATATTGCTTAATTTTTCTTCAATCACTGGGTGAAAAGCCTTTAACTTTGGCCTGCAATAGCCTTTTGATTATTTTTTCATTTTGTAAATAATATTAAGTTTTGTAATAAAATAGTTATGTTCTGATACCGGTAGTTTCTATGGTTGTAATTGAACTGAGCTGACTTTTAAAGTTTAAAAATTATGACCATTAAATATCCATTAACTATTACTCTGAGAATCTGTAAAGGCAAAAAAAAAAAAAAAAATAGCATGGTGAGAACACAATCTTTGCTGTTTTGTTAGAATAAATATCTTTATGCAAGTCAAAATTACAGATAGGAGTTATCCTAAATAACTTGTATTTCTTTCCTTTCTTGTGAATACTGAGATGCTACTGATGGGAGGTTGTTTATTAGAAAGCTGATATTTAGTAGTGGAAAAACTTTGTCCTGTGGTTGCCAGGAATAGAAACATTGGGTACTGTGAGAACTACTCACTGGTTATACACCTCCCCAGACTCTTGATGCTGCAGGTTAGTGTGTAGTCAGAATTTTCACAGTGCTTTAGAACTATTTCCTTGGATTTTTTAAAACAAATCTTAACAATTTTATGGTGCTGATGCTTAGTTATATCATTAAATTGTAAAAGTGAGTCATTGCAATACATGTGACTTTCAGCTATAATGCAAATATTTATTTTTAAAATTTATTTTAAAAATGCCGCGAAAACTTTAAATAATAAAGATTTATTGGTTTAAGATTTAAACGTTCATTGGTTCTCATATAAGATTCAAAAGTCTTCCAAAAGGAGGATGTTCCAGGGAAGATCTCTTTAAATTTTGAATTGTTTCTGTTCCCATGTAAATTTATTTTGGTCTAGGTGCTGCCCCAGACCCTAATGAAGGTGCTACGTTAATACAGTATACAAAATTCAGCTGAGCCCAAGGGTCTTAAGGTATGGGATTGTGGACCTGTACTTTTTAGTTTAACTTAAATAGAACATTTTTTACTGGTGAACCATTGGTGTCTTTTTTTATAGATAGAATCACTAAATATTCTCACCTAAGGCAATTTTCCTCAAAGTAGCATTCTTCCCTATGAAAGTTCTTCAGTGTCCCTGGTATTATATCCTGTTTCCCTATGCATCCATTCTTGAGGGTAATGCGACTGTTCAAATAGAAAACAGATATATGTAAGTAGGTGTTAAGGTGCCTTTTTCGTCAGTAACTCTTAGGTACTGTGAAGCTGGTCTGTGAACTGATGGAGTTCATTGGACAGATATTTTAACAAGGACCCAGCATTTTATCTGGGAGCACGGACTACAAGGCTTACTTTGGGTAAATCTTACTGATACTCTTTTCCTCCATCTGTTGCTGCAGAGTGTAATGCAGTAGCATTAACAGCAAGGAGATTCATGGGAGAAAGTTAAAGTAACATTGAACATTTTTCAAACTGCCATATTTTAACACAGTAACAAAATCTCTTGAACTTTGTACATCAGAATAGGCAAATATTGAGTACTCTCAATTCTGGGACCATGATTATTGAGTTGGCTAAATTTAAAATTATTTAGCCTCCACACAGGTCTGCTAGAGACACTCGTGTTCATAGATCACCTGTCTTAATTTAGTAGTTATTTTAACCAGTAGTTATTGTCCTGACTGATTTATATAAGGCAGTAGGACCAAGACACTCCTTTAAATTAGAATAAAACCAGAATGCAGCTTTTACCATGGAAGAGACCTTACAGAGTCCCGGTGTTCGCTTTCTCATAGGGTCCATTCATAAGGATCAGTTTATGAGGACTACTCATTGGGGTCAATTTCTAGTGAGATTTTTGGCCTTAACCAGAAGTCCTGCATTAAAGCTTAAAATGCACAGGGCAGTCATCCCCTTAAGAGCACATGGTAGAAAGCTAGGTCAAATGTTCTACTTCCCAGTCACCTGTTACCAATCCCGTTTTCCTTCTGTACTCTGACCATGCAGAACTCCTTACAGTAGTTTTGTTCTCCTTTACTAAAGAAGTTGCCCTGTTATTTCAGTAGGTCCCCACCTTTGCCAGTATTTGATTATAAAACCTAAGTTACCAGTGAAATTTCTGGAGATCAATTTGTGAACCAAACCAAACCTGTTGCCTTCGAGTCAACTCCAACTCATAGCAACCCTATAGGGCAGAGTAGAATTGACCCATAGGGTTTCCAAGGAGCGCCTGGTAGATTCAAACTGCTGACCTTTTTTTGGTTAGCAGCCATAGCTCTTATCCAGTACGCCACCAGGGTTTCCAAATTTGTGAACAGACGTTTATGTAACTTGGCCTACCTCCCTATTAGGCCATCCCCGGGAATGGAGTGTTGAAAGTCTGAAGGGAACTCCCCTATTCCTTTCCAGTAACAAGGGTTCTCAACCCTGGCTATTTTTGAATCACCTGGAGATGCATGTTAGTACTATGTAGACGCCCCATCTTAGATCAGCTTTTAAGAGGTGAGGCTTAGGCTTAATATACTTCTAAAAGCTCCCTAGGTAATTTTTAATATCTCGGTTGAGAGCCTCACCGGAGAGGTTATTAGACCTTTTCTCCGTAGATCTACTAGCATCCTAGCTTGACCTTAAGGCTTAGACTGGCTCCTTACTAGATCTCTGTTCATCTCTAGGGGAGGTTGGGTGTACATCAGATTACACGTCCAGGAGTGAGACTTGTTTCAAATGAAACTTACCTAATGAAGCTTAGTAAATGGTGATGTAGAATACCCTTGACTGAAAGTGCAGTTATTTTACGTACAACTATGAGAAAAATGCTAATTAAACCGTCACGTGCCATTGATGGGGGTATTACAATCAGTGAAATAGTATGTGCTGCATTAAGCAAGACGGTAGTTAAGTGCTGAATACAGAGTCAAAGTCAGTCTCATTCTGACTATTTAAAATTACCACCTCAGGTATGAACTGACTTCCTTTTTCCAGTTTGTACTCATATGGAATGTCACTGTTATTTTAAAAACATCTCAGGATGGGGTTTTACAGGTATGTTTTCTAGTGCAAACAGGGCATACGAGGGCAATGTTAAGGAGGCAAGAGACCTGGGAAGCAGGATACTGCCAGTCAACGCCTTATCCAAGCACTCGATCAGTAGGCACCTTCCAGGTGCTTGCCATCAAGCACTGTAATGGGCAGTTAGGTTTCCAGGTAAGCCTTCAAGTTGATACCCTGTGTGGTCTGCAGTCTGTGTTGTCCACTCCGTTGTTACAGCTAGCACCTGAGACCAATTTTCAGAGACCCTGACCTTTGTAGCACATGAGTTCTTGAATTCACTACATTTCCACCCTTCCCTATCATCCCTCTAACCACCAAGTCCTAGGTCCTTTGTCGTATGACTTCGTCAGATCTTATGTCGGAATCCTTCTTAGGCCCTGCCTTTCCCCCACATTTTATCTAAGGCCCCTCGTCTAGAATGGTTGAAATATTAGTTTTGAAACTATTGGTGATGCATACCTTCTATAAACAGCACTATCAGTGTTTGAAAGTACCGTTCTGGTAAGGCTAAGGTTGTAACTGAATGAAGAAATGTCAGTAGGTACCGAGAAGAAAAAAAACCAACTAGTTGCCTGTCATTGACTCAAGTTCCTTCCAACTCATGGCGACCCCATGTGTGTCAGGGTGGAACTGTGCTCCATAGGGTTTTCAATGGCTGATTTTTCAGAAGTAGATCATCAGGCCTTTCTTCCAAGGTACCTCTGGGTGGGCCCAAACTGCCAACCTTTCAGTCTTAGCAGTCGAGCACGTCAACAGTTTGTACCACCCGGGGTGTCTCCAAGTACTGAGAAGAAAGCATCTAATACAGCCCTTAAATGTTGTGCAAATTCTACAAAATTAATAATTTTATACCTTAAACAATGTAAGTTACACAGAAAAGAGTCAAAGGACAATTTTAATAGACTTTAAAACAGTGTACAAGTATAAAACACTGGTTTTGTATTTCAAAAGTTGGAGGAAGATATCCAGTCATTAAACAGTCTACAAAACATATGCCAGTAGATTACATAAAAGACTATGTACAATATAAAAAGAGCTGAAAACAGTCTTCACTGTAAAAATAATTTAAAACAAATTTTTCAATTTAAAATATTATCTATAGCAGAAACACACATCATGCAAATGGAAAACTAAATATACTGCATTCTTTAGTGTAGCCAAATAAATTTAGATTGAGATATCTTTTAGGTAGGGAAATGGCCATTCAATACTTTTTTTTTCCCCCTCTGGCAGTAATGGACCTAGCTGGGTATTTTATGCTTAAAGAACAGCTGTATTTCAAACCCTTTTTTTTATTGTAATAAATACTAAAGCAACATTATGAAAAGTCGATAATTTGGGGACAATGTTGAAAAAAGACCTGGAAAATAAATCTTACTGTGCAATTTTATAAAGTATGAACTTTGTTAAAAGGCTAGAAGCTTCTGCAGCTGAGAAAGTTGATCTCTGGACTTTTAAGGCAGGCTAAGCTTTTAAATAAACATACGTTATAGGAACTAGTTTCATTCATTAACTATTCTATATTAGAAGTTACATCATGTTCATCTCCGTAATACTAGGCTAGTAGTGTGGTGTTTATTACACCAAACTCTCCCAACAGGAGCCATGTAGTGCGCCTCCAGGGGACCTGGACTTTCTGGCTGAGTTATGATTAACATAAATTATTACTTTGGAATTGCAATCAGAGGCCTGATGCTCTCATTAATGAAAAAGAAAAACAGTCCAAAATATTACTCTCCCCAGTAGAAATACCATTATTATAGATTCAGAAAGGCCTTGCATATTCACATTTTGGCAGTTTAATACTTGTGGAAAAGGACCAACGCAAGCTCTACCACAGTGATAGGTATTTAAACAACAATGGCAAGGATTCTCAAACTAAGGGGATCCAGGCAGGCACTGCTGTTTCTAAAGCAACTGAAACATTTCCAAAGCATTTATTTGTTTTTCAGGTTAGTTTTATGAGCCAGTATAGACATTACTACATGTCTGCAGGAAGTACAAAAGCCATCTTCATTAGAACAAGACAGTATTCCTGAAGCTCTTAGCACCAAGTCTTACCTGAGTGCTCTCCCACATACTCTTGACTTCTGTCTACTCACATTGCATGTCATTTGAGATTTCTAAAAAGTTAGCTGCCACAAGTTTTGGAAAACGCCAGTGTTTAAAAATAGGTAATTGTGCTAAAGAATCAAAAGTTTAGCAGAACAGATTTGAGGATGTTAAACCACTCAATG